TCAACTTGAGGAGACAGAGGATTTTCTTATGATTTCCCATGAGCAAAACTGAAAGTATAAAACTATAGATCTCAGAAAGAAGTAAGTAAATGACTGAAACAGAACCACCTCCAGAACATCGTTTGTCTACTAAAAAGACAGTGATTTATCAGGCGTTCGCTATAATTCTTTTTGCAGCTGAGCGGAAAAGCAAAACCTCATAATTAGCACTCACCCAGTGGCAAGAATGTGAGAATGTGACCGAGAATGCAAAGTGATTCTGTCCTCCCTGGTTATGAACTCAAAACATCAGCAGTTGAACCAAACATGACTTCCACTTGTCCAAATCATTTCAGACAAAGTTTAACTTTCACTCTACCAAGAAAAGTATTTTAAATGATGTGTGTGTGGCCATGTTTTGGCATATGAGTGAGGACCAGTTTTCCAGTTTCTTCATCAAACTGAAGACATTTCATGGGTCCTTCCTTCTTTTTTCTGTTGCTGTTAGGTTTAGGACTAAGGTTTGAATTTATTTTAGGTTGAAGCTTGTTTGTTCATTTAAAAATAAATTAATCCATATTTACAATTATGAGCCAAGCAAAAAAGATATATTTACATGATATAAAAACAGCTAATTTACAGCTTATTAACAGATCCACCATAGCCATTATCTTAATACTTTACCTTTTCCAATTTTCTTATGCATAGACCTTGTTAATAAGCTGTTAATAAACCATTAATAAGCTGTTAATAAACTGTTAATAAGCTGTTACTAAACCGTTAATGGGATGAAACTGAACCATTAATACATTTAAACTAAACTTTCATAGGCTTTAGTTTAACTGTTGTTGGATAACTGAAATACTAAATAGAGATGGTAAGGGATGAAGAGTAGGCGACTTGAAAAAGTGATTTAAAAATACAGAGAGAAAACAGTGGAAAAAGGAATTTCCTTTTTATATGTTTGATTAAAAAAAAGGGTATTAAAAATCAGATGTATTGATTGTTGTATTTAAATACCAATTTAGAAAAGGGATCTGAAAATACATTTTTAAATTGTAGGGTTTAAAATTAGATTAATACATAGACTTTTACAATTGCCTCTTTAATAATTCAACTTAAAGTGTGCAAATACAACACGCTTTTTAATTGGATTCCTAAGTGTGTGACTGAAATGTTAGATATAAAATGGTTGTATTTATTTTCACTGACTTTCCTTGTCGTTAATAAACATGCATGTAGAGTTAAAGAAGATACTAAATGCGGTTTACTTGAAGAGTATAAAGGGATCAAAACATTAAACATGGAGGCAAAATGGGCTGATTAGAGCTGATGGAGTGATCTGACCTGGAGCTGTTGCTTCATTAGCCTTCTTATGGATCGGTTACTTAAATAATTATTGTCTTAGGTTTATAGCTTTGCTGTCGTGTAACAAGAGGTCTTTCTGTGCAATCTTTGTGTGCTATGTTTAGGTGTTTTCCTACAGCTGCTCCTGTTTCCACCCTCCGTCCAAACAAGGGATAAGTTAGCTGAAAGGGGGACTTTGAATTCTCTCCTTTGGGAGCAATATGTTCACTTGGCTAACGGAGTTAGATGTCTGTCTACAACTTGTTTAAGTCTGGCGGCGTCCTGAACTATTAAGATGGTTATATTAGGTATATACTGTATGTCTGTTTCTGCTTCAAAGAAGATCTGAAAGGAATAGATTACAAAATATATGAGTTTCATAGTTTAGACTGGGAAGAAGAAATCACATTTATACATGTCCTAACATATGTGATAATAGATCATTCAGTAGAAACACATCTCCAAGTGCTCTGGCATCTTTTTCCGACATCTTGTTCTTGGATATAGCAAACAAGTCGTGCCCATTCATCTGTTTTTTCTTTTATGTTGATGAATGTGGGCGCGAGACAGACAGGAACTCAGATTCCCCAAAAGACCCTCTTGTAACAACATCCGACCTCTCTGGATAAGCACTTTTCAAGACCTCTGAAACACAGGAGGCCCTTGCTGTACAAAGTAAAAACATTAACTGATTTTTTTTTTTTTTTTTGTCTGATGTACATTAGTTGGAAATAAGGGAAAAAAAATCAATTTTGACCTGCTGTCCCTGCTTTGACAGATGGATGCTTTCACTGACCTCCTTGAGCGATTTTGTTTTGTTATACAGACGTTTATCTGGACACCATTATGAAGGACATAATAAGCAGATATCAGCTTCAGCATCAGCAGTTTTAATTCATATATATTCTGTGGTTACAAAGAGTTTTCCTTAACATATTGTCTGTCAATGTTTGCTTTTTTTAAGACAAAGTGCCAAAAATGTTACTAGATCAACCTATAAAACATGAAAAGGTGGAACCCTCTTCAGGCTTTTTTAATCACACAGCTGTTGAGTGCTTTTTTCCTCAAAATAAAAGCGTTGGCAGCCTTAAAAGCAGCGACTGCTGCTCTCTGAAACAGGGGAGGCTCAATGGTGTTAAGCGCTCTGAAATAATAAACTCCAGACACCACAATGGTTATCCAATCAGGGCTCTACTTTCTCACTGCTTACCTCAATAGACTGAGGCTCAAACCTCGACAGGGATTTTTGTCAACAAGCTAACTGGTGGAGTGGAGATTGCATCTGAGAGCAGAATAAACAGCTGATTAATGCGCAACATATGCATGAAATCAGGCCAGTTTCGACGCGTATTTAATGCAGTTTAACGGCTACATTTATGAAGTTTGACAAAACATATTTACCAATAATTTTTTAAGTTGGAATTCCGACAAGTGGGCACAATATAATACATACTAAGACAAGCCATTTTATTCAAATATACATTAAAGTCATAGGAAAATCATATTTAAATGTCAAATCATTCTGGCTTAAACATGTATCTAAATGTATCTTTATCAGACTAAATTGTCCCAAAATAAAAATAAAAATTCCACTTTAAAAAAATCCTGTCTTAAAATCTGTAGGTTTTTTTTACGTTATCTTCTCCAAGCCAGTTAGTTATACGTCAGCCTGAACACCTAAATTCGGCCAATCATATATCAACAGTCATCTGTCAATCAAACTTTTTTTCGGTCATAGCATCTTGATTCATATGTCGCAGCTAATATACGTAACGGTTGAAATAAGAAACATTTCCTTTCCCATTGAGTTGCGTCCCAGTGTTCACGGGGATGGACGTCTGTGTCTTCGACAGGCGTAGAGCTAACAGAACTGGCAGCGTTGCGAGGCAAGGGCTCAAACATGTACGGCTGGAAGCCTTCTACACCAAACCAAGCGTCCTCTTCCACAACAACTTTGTCCGCTTTCCACGACCTCCGACGCTAAACTCTCCTCCTCCTGCATGTTTCCGCTGTCCATAGTGTTCCTTGACAGTGTCGTTTCTAAGTCACCAATTTAGTGCTACTTGGTCCCAATGGAATTTCCCATTGGGAACCTACTAGCACTAAGTTGCTAACTGGTTAGCAAGATGCTTCCGACAAATCGACTACAATCAAACATGCTTGCGAACCTTCCGCCACAACAATCCCGCCCTCTTTATAAACGACCAATCACATTCACTTTATTCACTCGTGTAAAGTTGTGCACCACTGGGGAGAATTTGGAACTGCAACCATTGGAACAGCCATTTCCCTACGAATTTAAATATAAGCTTTTTTTCGCGCACATTTTTTACATTCTGTGCATGCAGATACAACACTGTACTGTACCCCAACATCAGTTCATGCCCCTTCTCAATGTATAACATGGATGCATAAAAACCTCATGTTTTTTTTTGTGTTAAATTCCGTTTAAAGTAACCGATTATAATTAAAAATATCTCCGCACATTTACTGGTTGTTAATTTTCTGTATTCAGACCCTGCTGATTTTAATTGGTTAACTCTGTTCTAATTACTCAACGGAATCTTGGAAAACTAATTAATTCGTTAATCTTTAGTAGAATTTATTACTGCAACAGATCATTCACAGGTCTGTCTTCCTTATTTTCTCTCTGCCCATTTCCTGTCTATCTACTGTAAATAGAGGCCACTGAAATATCTCAATTTTAAAAAATGCTCATTGCAAAACAATATCTAGTTTTTCAAACGGTAAAAATGATTCCTACTGTTGTTCTTCTGCCGGATATAATCAAATATGTTTTGGTTGCTGGCAGAGCAAAAATCGGCTGTGTTATTTTCAGCCAGCTGACCAGCAGAGTGCAGCAACAGGTGGGCTTTAAAGTTCTCTGCTACTGATATAACCAGAGATGGGTTAGATGCCTTTTGGGTGTGAATAAGAAGAATGTGATGGAAAATTTAGCAGTTCTGAAACTACGATATAACTCTGTCAACCTTCATACTGGTAACTGATTTGTGCTTAATTATTATCAATTACATGCTTAAAAATAAACAAGCACACAGTAAATTACTATTATATTATACAATTATAGTGTTAGCCTTTCCCTGTTTCTTTGTAATGCAGCCAGCTGTCTATGAAATTATATTGCCATGGTCAGGCATCTTCTTACAGATGAAAAAATGGCCGACATATCCTGTTCCCATCAATTTAGGTCGTTCCATTTTGATGCTGTCAGATATTAAAAGCCTTTTGGTAAATATTCATGGTGAACAAAAGGATGAAAGCCAAGATTTGCACAGAACACTGAGCGCATAAAATACATTGAAAAAATGCAAATATGATCTGCAAAGTGGGTTAACATAAATCCACAACATTTTGTTTTACAAATGCATGGAGTTTTTATGATGCCAGTGTTAAACTAGAGAGAAAATGAATTTGCCAGAGAGGAAGCACCTTCCAAGTCATGAATAAAAGCAATTTAGTCTCCAATCAGATAGCAAAAAGAGAAAATAGCAAAAGCTCACTGCATTTATGCATCATGGCAGAGAGTTTTTTTTTTTCTTTGTATAAATGAAGCTCCAAGTGGGAGTGTATGGAAATGTTGGAATTTAGTCTGAGGTTGATTTGTACTGCCAGTTGACCATGTTGCCGTTGGGAAAGCAGCAGTTTGCACATACCTGGAACCTCCTCCAGACCATAACTGGTGCTGTTGGGCTTAAAGCGATCAGGTTGAACCTTCATCTTTGGACACAGGACATCTGGAAACAAAGGAGAAGAGTCGAGTCAGATCTGGCTTCTTTTGTTGGTTTGCATACAGCATGAACTGCCCTGAAAATCAACTCACAAAAATACAAACTTTGACTTAATTTAGTGTGAATTCCTGTGACCAACACCAAGTAGGTCCTCTAAGTGAATTTGATGAAACTGGTTCATGATGTAATTAGATTTTTTTAAACACAAAAATGTGCAAATGTACTCAAAAATATTGACGCCCCTTTACTTTGATACTTCTAAGCAAATACGTTGTAATTAATGTCTTTTAGAAATAACCGAGTGCAAAGATTTATTTATTTATTTATGATACATTTGAACTATATCTTCAATTTAAACATCATTTCTTTCTTGAGGAGGGGGGTGGGGTTCGTTTTCTTTAGACCAGGGGTCTCCAACGTTTTCGAGGCCAAGGACCCCCAAACTGATTGAGAGATGGAGCGGGGACCCCCCTAATTATATAGGGATGACAAAGTTATATGATCCCTGAAAATGTGTCATATCAAACTGGTCCTATAATCACTCTATTACAGATGGAGACAAAAGTAATTTCTCCCTGGGATTATTAAAGTATTTCTGATTCTGATTCCTGGTTGATGGGACAGGTGTTGTGAACGAAACGGTGCCCAGCTTAAAGGCGCTCTTGTGTGTCGCTGAATGTGTGCATTGATGACTGAAAGACATCTTCTGCTTTCATTTATCTGTTTACTAAAGTGTTAATGTGTACTTAAAGACATTTTAATTAGTGCAAAAAATTGCAGGAGGGAATAGAAAAAAAAGTAATCAACCAAGACTTTCGCGACCCCTATGCAGTACCTCCGCGGACCCCCTAGGGGTCACGGACCCCCTGTTGAAGACCTCTGCTTTAGACAGTAGGCTGAAAGGAATGGGGGAGAGACATGTAGCAAAGGACCACACGCCGGATTTGAAGCCAGGTCAGCCGCGTCAAGGACTAAGGACTCCATACATGGGTCATGTATGTTAACAACTGCGCCACTTAACCCTATAATGCCAAATGTATCATATTTGATACATACAGTTTCTGAAATGTTTTGCGTCTGACACCTTTTGCATAATTTAATGGTAAAAACTTTGCTCAAAATCCTATTGTACACAACCAGATATACCTGATAACAGCCAGTAGAAGACTACACAAAAAATAATCTTGACTTATCGCATAGTAATAAATTATTAATATAAAAAATTTATTTCTGTTTTTTCTTTTTACATATTTTGTTAAAAGGACAAAAAATGACTTCAATCCAAAAAAAAGTAATTTTCTGTTTTGTTTTATTCTTGGATCGGGCTTTAAAGGGTTAAGCACAACCGTGAAACACAGTTTTCAAATCGCAGAGGCCCTCAGCTTTAGTGATATTACATTAACTAAGAAAATTATTTAATGATTTTCTCACTTCAATACATTAGGTGCCGCTAATGGGCTTAAATTGGGTCCTCAGCCACAAAGAACTGATCCCTGCATGCTGGCAGAGAGTAGCACTGTTTGACGCAGTCCTTTGAGAGTATGGAGGGAATTCATTCCTTCACTGTTGGAAACTAATACGTTTTTTTTTATTGAAATGTAGAAAGAAATGCAATCCAGAGAAAGGTTTAGAAAAAAGTTTGAGAGTATCTTTGCTGATTTCTCAGGATTAGTAATTTCAACAAAAAAAAAATAATAAAGTGCTTTTTTGTTTTTGTTTTACTTTATCAAAATGAATTTTAAAGATTTTTAAATGTGATTTTTTATAATAAATTAATTATTCTTATTTCTTTATACAGATTTCGAATTTTCTTTTTTTTTTCCAAGCCTCTGTTTTCCAAATGCAAATGCATTCTTTTCAATCGTGTTTGATAGATCGAATTCTCTTCACTGCAAGCCCAACACAAAGGCTCAATCTTGACACATTTACCAATACTATGTTGTTTTTAAAGTCATGGAGACCATAGAGCTCCTCACCCGCCCAAAAAATATTAAATAACCTGATCAATTTAATGCAATTTGAAAATAGTGCAGTTAGTAAAACTTAATCTGAAAATGTAAATATCAATAAAATCAGCAGAAAAAAATACAATGTTATTCTATTTTTGGAAAAAGAAATTATAAAAAAAATTACCTTTTTGAAGAACAAAATTAGAAATAAACTTTGAAAACCTTTGTTTTATTTATCTATCAAAGTTTCATTTTTGCATTGCTTTTTTTTTTTACGTACATTTACAAAACGTGTTATCTACTTGCAACAATATTGGAACACAATTCACTCCATATTTAGAAGCCACCTGATTATTTGAAATAGTTTTTTCAATACATTTTTTCTGTTTCTTTTTTTATTAAAGGAACATACGTTTATTATGTCTGTAAATGAAAGTCCTACAACTGAATACTGCAAACCAAGGCCATACAGGAAGGATGATGTAAGGAAAATCGAAGACTCGCTCACTTGTTTATGAACCAGGGTATGAAAACAATATTTATAGCACCATGATGAGCTTCTTTATACATCAAGAAGAACTATGAGTTTAGATTAGAACTGACCATATGATATTCACTAATAATTAATGCAATGTACTCCCTCGTGTTTAATGCACTTTAGTGCATGCCATACACACCCACACACATCTACTACTTGGAGCTCACAGAAATTAAGTTTCTGATAAGTTAATTAATATATATAGTTTTTATTCAATGTTATAATTTGGCTTTGTTATCATTAACCCCAAAACAATCTTAACTCTTAGCCTTTTTTTCCACTCATTTTACTTCCACATTTATGAAATTGAAATGAACTGAAAATCATTGAATGTTACAGGATGGATTTCAGTAAACGTGTCATTTCTATTATATGTGGTCTGTTCATCAGCTAAACAGCCTGTTTCTCTTGACTACCGGTCATAAATATTCTTTGTGGTTTGTCTAAAACACTGCAGCTTCCCTACTGGGACAAGCTTTTGCTAAATTCCTACTATCAAACCCTACAATTTTCTAAAATCATAGCTTTGAGAAATCTTCTTGTCATAAAAGCTCTGAACCTTTTAGGGGTTGATTCTGAGGACAACTTGGCTTGTTTTTTGTTGTTGTTTTTTTGCTTTTTTTCCATCTAAACTAAGAGGGGGTCTAACCTGTGGATCATAAGAGTTAATTTGCCTGTTGGCATTTGAATTTCTTTTAGTCATTTTACAACGTTAGTGTTAAGAGAGGATGCTGCCAGTTTATACCAGTTAAACTGAAACAACAATATTAAGATCTACCAAAGGTTATATGTCTATGATGCCAGCAGAAGAGCTAAAATGACCATTCTTTGAATCTATTAAAGTGTGTCATCCTTTCTTAAAGATTATGTTGTTGCACAGCTCTCTATCTTAAAATGCGAAATAACGGTGCAACTCCCTGCAGTTGTGGCTCTGAAGCTATAATTTGAGGATGGGAGTGCGGGTTATATTGGATGCTATGTAAAGCTTTTCCTTTAAGCATTACAGCTCTACAGCAAATATTTTTCTTGCTCTTTTTTGCCACCACAGATTTTGATAAACTTTTAATTATTCTTCCCCTTTCATTATTTTGTCTAATTTCTCTTAACGCACCGTAGGATGTGGCTTTTATGTCACTGTAGGTCACACAGGCAGACATACCAGCTTTGGGCCACACATGCTCTAAAGAGTCAGCGCAGGATAAACAATATCCAATTTTAAACCTATAGATTAAAAGGTAAAATCTTTTGACATGTATGTGAGTTGGGGAATTGTGCCCACATGTAACATTAGAGCTGTAATTTTCTGAGTGAAAATAGCTGGCACTGCCCAGTGATCCAGTCACTCTGACCACAGATGTACTTAGAAGTTTCCTTGCTGAGTTTTTAAAGAATGTAGATTGAAAATTCAAGCTAAGTCTTTGGTTATTTCAAGAATTGCTATGTAGTATTCTTTAAATGATACATCCTACATTACTAATTATCAAAAAAAAATGCAGTTACTACATCAAAGGAAAAGGCTGAGGTCCATTGTTATCAAATTAATGTCTAAGTTCTAATTAGAAATTGTATGGGTGTGTAATTTGGTCAGGTGATTTGTTAAAGGTCCCATATTATTCTACATTTTAAAATGAAATGTCCTCCAGATGATGTTTTTTGGTGTTCCTCTCAGGTTAGGCAAACAGCCTTTACCAAAAGTGTACTTATTAAGCCCTTCTCTGGACAAGCTGCTTTGGCTTTCCGCACCCCTGTCCCCCCAACGGCCATTCGCCCCCACAGCCCATAACCATGGCAACCAATGCAATTTTTTAAAGATAGTCCAGGAGCAAGAAATAATACAAAGATGAAGGCTGAGGATTGACCGATGGCCTGCTACAGATTGCGTTGGACAGCTTATTACTCTTTATGACATAATTAGTTCTTTAGGGGTCTTTCTTCCCACATAATCCGTCTGATTTATTGAGCCACTAGGGGAACTAGACCTGTAACTTCCAGGTTTGGCCCCAGTGTACGGAGATAAATTTGTTCCAGGATTGTAAAAAGTAAAGAACAGATTTTTAAAAAAGGAAATATGAAAAAAACAGTTTTTCAAAAAATTGAACCTTGGAAACTTCCCAATCAAATAATTTATGTATTTGCAAAAGTTCAACCCGTCTTTTTACAGTTTGTTATTTTATCAGAATCTATTTACAAAGTCTTTACAGCTTTTCTGGATTCTGGATGGTCTGTGGTCAGACCAATATAAATGCTATTGCTAACATCCAGCCAGTGCAGACTAAATTTTGTTAGTCTGCATAGAGATCAATGGAAATGTTTCTCCAACTAAGAACAGTAGACGGTGAAATCTGTTAAACAAGTTTTTAAAGAATTGGTGAAACTCTGTTTTCTCCAAAAAACTAAAAAAATAAAATCTAACTAATATCTAAAAAAAATCTGAAAAATTTAGAAAACTCTAAAAATAGTGATTTAACTTTTGCATAGACTACATATATTAAAAGTATCCACATTACAAATTACTCTCA